CCGTTGCAGGATCGGGGCCCAAGAGCTTGTTGTTCCCTTTCCCGTGGCTCTGCCCGTCGCTGGGTCGGGACGGGCTCGTTAGTTACTGGCAATTAAAAACATCCCGCCCACTTGGCTCTTTGAGCGTGTTTTGCCTCGGGAAATGGCTGCGGTCATTGTTGGTCTTTCTGCCTTCCCTTCGTCGCATGTATGGAGCGTGAGGGATTACAGCTGGACTGGGCTTATTTTTATAGTGTCTCCTTTCCCTTTGGAGAAGGGAGCAGTTTTTGTGCGTTTTTAATTTCATCCAGGAAATGGTTTTCATACTTGGCTTGATCGTTAGTGAGCACGTTGTTGGTATTTAACAATTTGTTTTCTGATGTTGGTAGGAAATGGAAATAATGCGGGAAGCCGATAACTTATAAATATTCATATAATTATTTTTGTTCCTAGAACAGGAGAACAAATCACAAATGTCTTCCAGGAGTGTATTATCAGCCCACAGATCAAAGCAGCCTGGATCTACCCAATATGATGAAGTACATGTAGATTCCTCTCTCTTGGAAGATACAGCAAGTCTGCCTCAAAATTCACAAAATGCTGAACTGCTACTGGATGTGGATCCCACGCGGCCACCACCACCTCTTCCACTGCAACCACCTTTTGGCCCAGAATTTTACCCAAGTGATAGCGAGGAGCTGTCTAATCTCAAACCGGTGAGGCGATTCATTCCAGACTCCTGGAAGAACTTTTTCAAAGGCGAAAAAAGATCTCCAAAATTGGATAAGCCAGCATCAGATACAAATTACACATCTGATGGAATTGAGTGTTCTCCACCAGGATCTCCACTACTGCCAGACCTCAAGTCAGCTGCTAGTTCTTATAAAGACCCATATGGAGGATCAGGTGGAAGCTACAATTCACGCAAACAAGCTGAACCCATGCTTCCCCAAGATCCTTATTCCTCCTTAGACCGACATACTCAAATGGCTCTAAATTACAGTGAGAAGGTGGAAGACTATAATCTGAGATACTCCTACATGAAATCGTGGGCAGGTTTACTCAGAATTCTGTGTGTTGTAGAGCTGCTTTTAGGTGCAGCAGTCTTTGCTTGTGTCACAGCCTATATACACAAGGATAATGAATGGTACAACATGTTTGGATACTCTCAGCCATATGGTTTTACAGCAAACAGTATGTATGGTGGCTATTATTATAGTGGCCCCAAAACCCCTTTTATACTTGTAGTAGCTGGCTTGGCTTGGGTAGTGACTATAGCTCTTCTAGTACTTGGCATGTCAATGTATTATCGAACTATTCTTCTGGACTCAAATTGGTGGCCTTTAACTGAATTTGGAGTTAACATTGCATTATTCATTCTGTATATGGCTGCTGCAATCGTCTATGTGAATGATGCTAACCGAGGTGGACTCTGCTATTACCAGTTATTTCAAACACCAATTAATGCATCATTTTGTCGCATAGAAGGAGGACAGACTGCAGCAATGATCTTTCTGTTTGTCACAGTGATTATCTATCTTATTAGTGCAATAGTTTGCCTGAAGCTATGGAGACATGAAGGCGCCAGGAGGCATAGAGAACTAATGGAGCAAGAGGTAAGTCCAAAAACTATCCAATCAAACTGCATCAGCTTTCCTGTGTGCATTAGTGTGTACTTTACAAGATGAGATGAAGTAGTCAGCTTTGAGTTCTGGTTATCATTGTGCCTTGGGGTAACTCACCTTGGTACTAACTTTCCCAACTATCCAACAGAAATATTTACCCACTTCTGTAATATTCTGAGTTCAAAGAGGAAAGTGTCACATTGCGGGGAGCATTCCAGACAGAGAAGGGTTATGCCACTGCCTGTCCTCAGTGCTTAGTTAATAATGAAAGAGGTTCTAGGGCTCAAACACTTTTTGCTTTCATAAAAGTGCAGCAAGCCCAGAGTGGGTATGAATTGTCAGGCATAGAGGTGCAAGGGCTCAGCCCTAACACAAATGAACACTGCCTGCCTGTTCTGTAATCTTGGGTACCTCACAAAGCTTTGCTGCTATAGTCCGAGGCAAGGAAGCTCTCCAACAGCATGCATGTTGTACCTTGGGGGTGTCATTGTGGCTGCCACTCTGGTCCATCAGCTCTAACAAAGCAGCAATATCCAATCACACACTGGTTTACACAAGCCTTGGTTACGAGTGTAAAGGTGACCCATCACATTTCCGGTCCTGAATTTTCGGATATAAAATGTCCATTGCCCCAGTCAATGATCAACATTCTAGTTTGCTACTGATTTAAAGTAAGTTAAAACAAAATTTATTTTGTTACAAAGAGATTTTAAATGGGCACAAGTAAGTCAGAAACAATTACAGGAGAAATCAAGATAAAATGCTTTCTAGTAGCTAAAACTTAGCAAACTAGACATGGTTCCAAGTGGAAATCCTTACTACATGTTTCCAGCAACATGGCTGACCAAAAGGTCCTCTTCAAAAGGCTGGTTTCTTTCACCTCTTAGGTGAGGCAGAGAAGGGGAGTGCAATGTTTCTGTCTTTCACTTTTATAGTTCAGTAATCCTTTGAAATGTATTTTCATGAGGAGTCCTGTGGCACTTTATAGACGAACAGATTAACACAGGAGACTAACACAGCTACCCCCGATACTTATTTTCATGAGGATTACCCTTAGATCAAGCTCAGTTAAGCAGTGAAAAAGGAGTCATGAAGTGTAAGAAGTTCTCTGCTGTCTGCCAGAATGCAAGTCCTTGCCTGACCCTTTTCTTTGCCAGATAATAGGCACTTCATAGATCAATGTTTCCCAATTGGTGCTCCGCGGAACCCTGGGGTTCCGCGGAGCACAACGAGGGGTTCCGCGAGGAGCCGGCGCTCCCCCGCCCCCTCTGAAAAAGAGAGAGAGAGAGCCCGTCCCTGCCGTGCGCGACCTTCCCTGAGTTGCCCCTGGCTGGCTGCTACTGCCCTGCGCAGTGTGCTCAAACCAGTAGGTGGAGAGATGCCCGGATGTGACATAACATCACAGCCCAGGATTTTAAACGACCAAATAGCAAATTTTATTTCAATGGGACTACATTCATAAGTAGGGACTGTTTGTATGTATGAAGGACAATGGATCTGGTCCTAAGAGAAGGGAACAGAAGCAAAGTCGGCAGGATCAGCCAGGCAGGTATTTTAACATGGTAACTATACCCCACCAACTCAGTACAACAGGTAACGCACATGGACAATGAGTTTGCATTTAGAAGATGCTGGAATATTGGGGGAAGGGTATTTTATGCCCCGAGGGGCTATCAAAGCAAAGAATCCCTAAATTGTCATTTACAATAGGGTCAGAGGAAAGCACATTTCAAACATCTCAACAGGAGTACTGATGACAAAAGGAAATTAGGACGAAAGGAAAAGCTCTCCAAAGATATATGTAAGTAGCATTAGTGGTGAGGAAGGTGCAGGGGAACCATACATCATTGGCAAGGAGCTTGAAATAAAATCAACATCATTGATCTGTGGAATTTTTTCTCTCTCTCCGGATCAAAAGCAGAACATTGCAGCCTACCTTGTCTCTTAGGGGGTAAAATAAACTCAGGAGCAGGAGGAAGGAAGGTCACACACATAAACTACCCCCTTTAATAAGCCTTTTTGAGAAATAACCATTGCAGACACATATGACCAGGATGCAGGAAACAACCAGCAGTGAAATAAAGGTGAGGAGGAGGCTACAGGAGTGAGGAATCAAATCAAAACTTAAAGCAGGGAACATAAACCAGATAGGGAATAAAACAGAATTGGTCATTCTTCCCATTTTCTCTGGATGCTCTTTAGGGTTGGAGTGATCCTTCTGGGTCTTGGGAAATGGGTGGGTATAAGCCCATCCACAGCTAATGGACTCTTCCCCAGCCTATGGGGAGGATTCAAGCCACTGAATCCTTGGGACAAACAAAAAGAAAAAGGGGAGGTGCGAAGGTCAAATGGTCAAAACAAGGCAACTGGAAGGGGACACCAAGCAGAGAGCCTCAGACAGTGCCCACTGCTCCTTGAAAGCATTGAAGGCGTCAACACACACTGCCCAGAGGAAATCCACCTGGATGCACAAATGGATAAAAGAGCAAAAACTATCAGTCCCTCCCCCCAATCTCAGATTGCTTCCTCAGCCAACGTTCGCGCCCTGGTATAGGAATGCTCACCTTGGACATAGTTAGGAGGAGATTGATGAAGAGGTCCCATGACTTTGTAAAAAGGAGAAGAGTGGTTGGTGCTGGGATGTCAGACCTTCTGTTCTCTAACACAAACAAGTGAACCAAACAAGGTGTTGGAAGTTGTGTGCTGAAGTGTCCACTCACCACTCTCCTGAATAGGTTAAGAGACGCCCGTGGGCCAACTGACCTATTAAGCAGGAATCTGGGGTGAATTAAGGCTGAGAGAAAAACCCTAGCTTGAAGAAGCGAACCAGTGCAGGAGTGGGCAGGACTGCCATAAAGCCAGGGAGCAAGCAAGAGAAGAGAGCTGCTAGGAAAGTCTGCAGTTGTTCCCTGTGGAAAGAGAGGTGTGTGCCAGTGTAGACACAGCCAGAGGGAGGGAGGAAGGCAGGCAAGGGCGTTGAAATCTATATTCCCGCTTTCCTCAAGGAATAATGCTAATTTTGAAATAGTTGTTTCAAAATAGCATTAGTGTGAATACTCCAATGCCGCTATTTTAAAATAACTACTCTCTAGAGTAATTCAAACTAATTGCTCTCCAGTGCTTCCTGGGACTCCAAGGTAGGGCAACCACATTAAGGGTGCATCTACCCAGAAGGGCTTAACTCAAAATAAATTATTCAAATTGAACTATGTCAATTGCATAGCTTATTTCAAAATAGAGCACTACACAGCACTTATTTCAAAATAGAGCACTCTTACTCCAACTTTCCTTACCCCTTGTACAATGAGCCTGTGTCTAGACTGGCAAGTTTTTCCACAAAAGTAGCTGCTTTTGCGGAAAAACTTGCCAGCTGTCTATACTGGCTGTTTGAATTTCCGCAAGAACACTGACGATCTCATGTAAGATTGTCAGTGTTCTTGCGGAAATACTATGCTCCTCCCATTCAGGCAAAAGCCCTCTTGTGCAAATGCTTTTGTGCAAGAGGGCCAGTGTAGAGGACGCGGTTTGTTTTGCGCAAAACCACGTCTAGATTGGCACGGACGCTCTTTTCCACAAATGCTTTTAACTGAAAACTTTTCCGTTAAAAGCATTTGTGGAAAATCATGCCAGTCTAGACGTAGCCTGAAGGTTACAAGAGCTGGAGTGAGAACTCTTCCAGCTTGACAGTATTTCAACAGTATTTTGAAATAACTGCGTGACATGTAGATGCGGACAAAGTTATTTCAAAATAACGCTAGTTATTTCGAAATAATGTTGCTGTGTCAATGTACCCTAACAGAGCAGTGATGGAGAGGAGGGGAACAGAGCGGATGAGGCCTCACAGAAAGGAGATGGGGGGGAGGGTGTCTTGGGGAAGGAATGTGAATTTCATGAATTGGTGGGTCCCTCTCTCCTCCCCCACCCCACCCCACCCCCCCTTTTTTTTTTTTGCTTGACAAACCTAGGGGTTCCTTGAAATTTTGAAAAGCTGAAAAGGGTTCCTCAGCCAAATAAAATTGGGAAACACTGTCATAGATGATGACAATCAACTTGGTTGCAGGTGTCACCTTGTCCTTTATTTTTGAGAAACAAAGTTGCCCTACAGCAGTGGTTTTCTAAATTTTTGTATTGGTGACTCCTTTTAAACAGCAGGCCTCTGAGTGTGATCCCTGCTTATAGATTTTAAAATGGGGAGAGGGGATAATTTAATGGGGTCAGGGACAGTGTTCCCTCTTAAGATTTTCCATCCATGAGCAGAGTGAGTTTTGTCTTGCGCACCAATTTTGAGTTTATGTGCGATTGTTTGGATGTGTGCCACAATAGCACCCAAGTTATTAGCAAATATCTTTAAAAATATTATGGAAGAAAGAAAACTAAAACAGGGGATAAATAAAAATAGCCCACCCTCCAAAATATGCTAGCATTCGTCATTTGTCAAAATGAGCTAATTTTGGCATTTCTTTTTCTGCCTCCCCTTTTATTAAAGAATACTGTAAACTTTCTTGTGGTTTTGTGTTTTGCTCATGTTCACGATTTAGCGGAGCTTGGGTTATTTATTTATTTATAATTGGACTATAAAGAGTCAGCAAAATCAGTCTCCGGAATCTAAGATTGAAAAATGTTTTGACTCTGTTACTGAATAACATTCTCCAGAGAGCTTCAGAGGGGTAGCCGAGTTAGTCTGTAACAGGAAAAACTTAAACAACCAGTAGTCTAGTAGCATCTCAAAGACTAAATAGTTACAAGAGGCTGATAAGTACCATTAGTTTGCACTTGGAAAGGAAGATGACCAACACCAGATTCTACACAGACATCAAGAACCATTTGTACCTTCCTTGGTTGGTTGGTTGATAATGTGCGAGCCCTTGCATATCATGATTCAAACCATTAATATAAGAGTTAAACTTGTGAATGAAGTTAAGTGCCAATCTTTTTCTGTGTATTTGGCTTCTGGAATTGGGCTGATACCATCTATCGGTTTTCTTAATCTTTCAAGTGCTACTAGACTATCTGTTGTTTTTTAAGATTCCCCAGAGAGTTGCATTGAGAGAGATGCTAGACAGAAAGAACGTGGCATCGTTAAAAGTTACCTGAGTGCCAATACGTTAATTGATCCACCTTATCTCCAAGTGAAAAGTGTGTTAATGGGTTAACTGAACTCATGGGAACAGACTTGGGAGGCCCATAGGCAAGGTGGAGGGGTAGGGCTGTGGGCAGAAGGGACGAGGCAATCAGCCTTCAGCACTGCCCAGATGTCACACCGTGGCACTCTAGCAGTGATTTACAGAGCCTGGTGTTCCAGCCACCACTACTGCCACAGTAGTAGTTGCAGTGGCTGGGAACCCTGGCCCTTCTGAATTGCTGGGCACTAGGACATTTGTCTCTTTGCCCCCCACCCCTGGTAGCAGGAGAACTTGTACATTAATAGGAATATTTTGAAAAGCACTTGAGATTTAGAAAAATTAATTCCATGGCAAGTCTATATGATTTATGCCCCCACATGTCTGTGCTTTTAAAAGTTTCCATCCATGGAATGTTCTGTCCATGTGCGGACTCTGGAGCAAACCAGATGAGTTTCACAGAGAGGGGTCAAATCAATGAATGATAAAAGTGATGCCATGTCAGTGTCTGACTAAACTCATTTTATCATAATAATCCTTTTCTATTGTTAATGGACTTTCTTCTTATTTCTAATTCCATTTTACGGAGTTTTGAAGTAAAAGACCAATCAAACCAGAGCCTGGTATAAAGAAAATGTTCAAAATAAATAATATAAGTAACGACTACGTAAAATGGCAAGCATGTGATACAATATAATGGCATTCTGACTCAACACCGAACAGGAAGAAAGAATTTGAAAACAAAAATCTTAAAGGAAAATAATCTGTAGGAAGTTGCACACCAACAACTAATGTCACTGATACTTATTAGCGACATGACTACGGAAATAGCCATTAAAAATGTTTTCATGACTGTAGATTATACTTTCAAACATTGCTAGGTCAACTGGCTGCATGTAACCATTTAGGAGAGAAGAAATCATGGAAGATTACCACTTCAGCAGAATTATTAGAACCAGTGAGTCAAATTCTGCCCTTGCTTGCATCCAGAAAACGTTGATTTCATATACAGGACAGATTTCAGAGTAGTTACACCTGCATAGTTCCAGAGGGCCTGAATTAGTCCTGGGATGAACACATTAGTTGGCCCATCTGGGCACAAAAATAATTCCTTTCTAGAAGACCATCTCTCACCATCACCATTCATATACTCCCCTCTCCCTTGTGTCTATACCCAAATATTCCATTTTATAGATACATAGTGAAATCTCCAGATTACATATCAAGTTCTAATGACAGTTCCCCCACCCTGAGATAAAACTAAAGTATTTGGAGTGACACATACACCTACAAATCCAAAGTATAACATACTTACCACAGCAGGAACAGCCCTCTGCTGTCCGCCACTCAACTCCTTTGGACCCAGCTGCCCGTGACACAGCCCTGGTTCTGGCCCCAGACACCAAAATAGCGTCCTCGTGGCCGGCAGCTCTAGCCCTGGGGAAGGGCTGAAGCTAGAGCCATGGCCAAGTGGTGACTGCTCTGCTCCTCCTGGGGTGGAACAGCTGCCTGGCACGTGACCCTGCCCCGGAGCAGCTTAGAGGCCACTGCTCAGCTCTGCTGAGGAGGTGGGTGGGCCTCAAATTTTTGGTGCGTGCCCCAAAGAGCTGATAGTTGTCATTTCAGTTTATGTTCAAAATTCTTCATATGCATTTCATACATACTTTACATACAAATATTGATAATTCTGTTAAACTTTTAAACAATACCCATATTTTACACAATTATTATAGTAGTGTGTAGGATGCGAATACAGGGGTGATCACAGAAAGGCACTAGCTAAGTACAGATGAAGTGTCCATTGAAGTCAGTAGTAGTCTTTCCATTGGCTTAATCAGGCTGAGAATCCATGTAGTTGCATGGAAAATATCTAAATACTCTGGATGCTTTCACTTCTCTGAGCCTGTTGATGCGGATGACATGATGATGTCATTCTGCCACCCTGAAGGAAATTTTATTTATTTATTTTATATATATATATAGAGAGAGAGAGAGCTATGTGATTGCCTCAAAATATTCTAGTTAAAGATTAATGTTATATAAACATCTGAAAAAATGAATTTTATTAATATAATCAAATTATTCCCACCTGTCCTTCAATATTCCGTTACTGTTTACTTGAAAAATATTCCCAAATAGATTATAGGGGTTGGTTTGGATGAACAGAATGTAATGGGGAAATTGTTGATGGCTAAGTTAATTCCCACAACACATAATAAAAGAATGATTTCTGCCCCTAAAGAGCTCATGGGTTAATATTGGACAACATATAAGAGAGTAACAAAAGTGGTAGTGAAGAAATTGAATTATCTAAAAGCATAACTGAAAATGTGTGCTGTAGCACGGGTGTAATTCTTAAAGTTGGGTGGGGTTAAATAAAAGTTGGGTGGTGGTTAAATAAAAGCCAAAAATGGCTTAGAACCCACTGACAGTAACAAACTGGGAATTCCATTGATGGATCAACCTAGTGATATTATGAACAAAAAAACAAAAATTACAACCATGGTTGCACCTGTTTCTATTTTCTTTCTTACAGACTTAGCAGTCAACTTGGGCTGCAGAGTGACAATTTTGGACTGTAATTAAGATACTCCAAATAAACTGGTCTAAATGGTTACAGTTTCTTTTGAATTACTGTCTTCTCTCTAGAAAACTGACACTATATTGCCATATATATAGCTTTCCTTAAAATAATATATGTATTTCATATTTAAACATTAATTACCCTCAAAACTGTGTATTACGACTTCTATAGCGTTTAGGATTTTAAAGGTTTGCAGAATATATTTATACTTGAAACATTTATGTTAAAGAATAACTTTTTTTTTTTTTTTTTTTTTTTTAGATGAAAACACAATCTTTTGCACCAAAAAGGATGGTAAGAACCAAATTTGTTCTCTCCTAATTTTCTGACTGATATTATCATAGGATGAAAAGAGGTAAAGTTTTCCAAAGTGCTGGTCAGAAAAGGTTAACTCTTTAATACTGTTAGATTCTCACATTGTTAGCTACTTAATACGAGATTGTTTGAACTTTTGTATTTCTCAACTTTTTTGGTTTTTGAAGGAAGTAGTGATCAGGAAGAACTCAACTCATACCCCCTTTGGACTATATCAGTACTGTCTTCTGAATGTCATACTTAACATCCTTGATCATGGTAAACAAAGGAATTCACAGGAACTGTCAGCACCTATTGTTCCAGCTCTCCTCCAGAGCCTATTATTCATGCTCTTCAGGTGGTCTTTCTTGGTTTCAGCTTTGTTTTCCAGCTGGATCTGGTTCAGAGCTCTAACTTCGACTTCTTTGGCTGAAGTGCTTTGTTGCATTTGTGGTACCCTTTTGTGAGTGTGTGTCAGCTTGTCTGCTTTTTGAGTTTTCAGCAGACTTATGACCATTTGGTGTATCGATGCTTGGTCTATTACTCTTTTGAACTGAGGATGTGAAAGGTTAACAGGTAGGCATTGCCCTTAATGGGTGATGCTTACCAGTTCCAGTTATCGGTTAACTGGTGGCGGGCAGGGGGCTGCACCAGTCCCTCTGGAGCCCCATTGTGGACAGGGGCTGCTCTGGTCATGCCCCCTTTAATCAGTTAAACATAATGTTTAACTGGTTAACCAATTAAACAGGATTTTACATTTTTTGAATATGCTTGGGCTCAGTATTTCTTGGTACACATCTCTCTTGTTGTTCTGCTGCTTCCGTTGACAGGTCAGGACTTGACCCCTTCACCTCCCTTTTGGTTTTTTAGTAAGTAGGACAATGAAGAAGACAGTCCAGTGCCTTCACCTTGCAGGATGATACCCGATACCTAGGATTAATGACCATATTTGTGCCATTGGAATCAACCACAATGTGTAGGATATATTTGCACATGTCATCTGAGGAGCAAAAAAGGGTGGGCAGTGCCTCCAAACCCTTATTGAGGCACCCTAGAGGGAAAAGGGAAACGTAGAGCACTTTGAAGGGTAAATCCTTCAAGGTGAAGCCTAAGTTAACCAAGGCCACTATGCACGGGGATTCAAGTGCCTTCACTGCACAAACTGCTATCCAGTTTGGTAAGAACAGAGCAGCTGAACCACAGAGTGCCTTGTGTAGTCATCAGCAAAGCGTTGCCAAGTTTTGCAATCTGGGAATTTAAGGAGACGATGAGAGAAACTATGCTACTCTCCTGTATGTTGGAATTGAAGCCTTCTACAGGTTGGACCTCACCCGTCTGGCATAGGGATGTGAACAGATAACCAGTTACCTGGTACTATGGAGCAGTCCCCCTCAGGCGGCCCACCACAGGTGGAGGGCTGCGGCAGCCCCACACAGGGTCAGAATCTGAGCTGGCCCTCTGTGGGGTTGCTGCCTCTGCGAGACCCATGTGGGACCAGCAAAGCCTGCCCGCCTGCACTCCCCTTGAGCTAGAGTACCCCCCTCAGGAAGGTACTGCTCCAGCCCCCTTTAATTGGTTAACCGGCTAAACATAGCATTTAACACTGCATTTAACCAGTTAACCAATTAAACAGGATTTTACAGCCCTTGTCTGGCTTCTTGGGACTTGACCAGTCCCAAACAAAGCTGTTGGAGTCCGGCCCTGGCCAAGACTCTGGCCCCAGCCCCATTGCTGCCAGCCCAATCCCCACCAGAGCTCCAGCCCTCCTGCTACTGGGCTCCTGGCCATGGAGTTATCTGGTCCAGGAACATCTGGGGTCGCACCAATCACAGATGTTGCAGATCAGAGAGTCTTGGTTTAGGGAGATACAACCTGTACTTCAGATTTCTGGATTTTCCCCTGTTGTGTGCCCAAAGCAGAGACACCAGTGATTCTGGGTAACTGTATGTGCTTAGTGATATAATCAAGGACTCCTGAATCATTCTGAAAAAGCTGAATGGCCAGTGAATCTCTGGCTTAGACATTGGTGCCAATAACACTTCTTGTTCAGGGTCTCCAATGGTACTGATATTCCCAAGAGTACTTAAAGCAATACTTTCCACATAACCTTAATTTTGCCCTCATAAAAACTGGGAACTTCACAGTGCCTTTCTCCTGAATAGCAGAAATTACCAATTTCTCTATGCCCACCACAAGACCAAATCAGGATTCATATTCTTACAATCCAGGAGGACCCTCAGGGAAAGGGAAAAATTGTTGTTGATTGACAGAGATTGAACTGGACCCACCAACCTACCTTTTTCCTAGTTTCCTTGTTGTGCAATCACAATTAGTCTAGTACAGGTTGAAACTCTCTAGTCCAACAACATCTGTAGTCCGGCATGATTTTAGGTAGCCAGATGTCCACTTATCATGGGTTTGGCCAAGTTTCCTTCAGTCCCATAACATTTGTTTACAGCCACCAGTCCTGATAGTCAGTGTTCTGTGCTGTTATTTCACTCTAATTTAATCCTAAATGTAGTCTAAGAGCCCAATAAGCAGTGGAAGTGTTGGTAATATATGGAGATATAACTATCTCATAGTGCTGGAAGGGACCTTCAGAGGTCATCAAGGCCAGTCCCCTGCCCTCACATCAGGACCAAGTACCATCCCTGACAGATTTGCCCCAGATCCCTAGGTGGCCCTCTCCGTGTTTGAGCTCACAACCCTGGGTTTAGCAGGCCAGTGCTCAAACCACTGAGCTATCCCTACCCCCACAAGATAGTATTCACTTCCCATGGTTTGGCACGTTCTCTGGTTCAGCACCAGTCAGGTCCCAGGAGCTCCGGACTAGAGAGATTCCATCTGTAATTCCTTAGAGATCTTCTTTAAACTTTTCTGTAGTTAAGCAAGTGAATGGGCCACATAAGTGGCCCTTCTTCCTCTCAATGGACCCAGATGATCATTGGTGGACAACCCTCGGCCCACTGGGATTACCCCCAAAGCCCAGGCACCCCCTCTCTGTTCCTCCTCCCCCATGCCCCTCTTGTGTGCTCATGTACTGGCACCCTTGACTTGCAGTGTTCAAGCTCTGGGAGGGAGGAGGAGGAGTGGGGACAGAGCATAAAGCAGCAGATTCATGGCTCTCTGAAAGTGGTTGTAGGGAGGCAGAGGAGTGTAGTTAAGTGCGGGGCTCCAATGTCCCAGTGCGGGCCACATGTTGCCCACGACTACTATACTTCATTCAAGTCACACAAGACTAAATTTCCAAACCCCAGAAAGAATAATATGTTCAGGAGCTGTTAAAAATGGTTATTCTGTATGAGAAATCTCACTTTATATTTCTGTATGCAATGATAGTGTAGTCACATTGGTCATTGTATATAAAAGAAGCAAGGTGGGTTGGTCTGATAGTACATGTTAGTTTATCCACTTTACATTTACTTATTTCCTAGTTCATGCTTTATTTTTTACTCTAATATTACAGTTGCATTCAGGAAGGCACAGGAAACTGTTTAATACCTGCAACTTTAATTCCACGCTAACAATTATATTGTTTTGTCTTTATCGTTTTACTTTTAAAATTAGAATGAAAGTGAGGACAGACCAAGAGAGGCAGTCAATTACAGGCAACTGAAATCAGTGGACATGAAACCTGAACTACTAAATGGCCACATACCTTCAGGCCACATTCCTAAGCCTATAGTGATGCCAGACTACTTAGCGTAAGTGCTTTTGTAACTTTCCATTAAGCTCATTTCACCAAAGAAAGGAATTTTTTCTATTCTCCTATTTTAGTATCTAACAACTTTTTCAGATTCTACTGGTCTCCCAATTTCGTAATTAAATGAATTGTAAATAAGAATGATGAAAATCATGGTTTGTAGACTTAGCATGTAAATATTTAATATAAATGCATAATTAAAAATCTAGTTTTTGTAATAGATTAATTATGGGAATGAGGGTTAGTGATACAAAAATAATTAAAAGAATAAATACATATTTCAACTTTTTTAGAACCTCCAATACTTACTCTTCTTCAACAGTCTGACAATCAGAAATCAAACTTTAGCAAAGGAAATTTAGGCACAAGTAAAATTCATAAAGTAAATAGTCTTTGCAAATAATAGAGCTCAGTTGTTCCATAAAGATATGTTTCAAATAATGTTAACTGAGTAATACTTAATTCAGATTTCAAAGTCTTATGTATAACCTACTGAAGTTTGAATGGCTGAATGTGCTCAAAAAGCCACTTTTACAGCTTTTTTGAGAAGTCTTGATTTATAGCACTTATTATAGTTTTTTCTTACAGAAAATATCCAGCAATTCGGACTGATGATGAGCGAGATCGCTATAAAGCTGTATTTAATGATCAGTTTGCTGAATATAAAGAGCTCTCTGCTGAAGTTCAGGTGGTCTTAAAAAAATTTGATGAACTGGATGCATTGATGAGCAAGCTTTCTCTTCACCCCGGAAACACACTGGTAAGTAGCTAACTAGGCATGTGTGTTCTTTTAAAAAGAATGAAAAAACAAACTGATTTCTGTGTTTTCAAAAACTGAGTCCAAAAATCTTAAATTGGTAGACTGCCTATAAGAAGGAGAGACCTTCTAATGCTAAAGATGAAAAAATGAGATGGATTTTGATCGCCCAAAAAATCTATTATCTTAATAAACTTAAAAAACAACAAATAGAATGGTAGCACTTTAAAGACTAACTCAGCAACCCCTCTGAAGTTTTTATTATTTTCATGTTTTACTAGTTCTTAAGACTTCGTCGTAACTAGTTTCCTCCCATTTTTTCATCTCTTTATTTTAATTCTTTTCAGTTAATTTCCATTTTAACTGAAAGTTTTGACTAACTTCGGTTGTTAGCATTGACAAATTCAAATTAATATTTTCAAAGAAAAACTAAAATGTATCTCGGTGCTTTTGACAGAAGTGTGGGTAGAACTTATGGGAGAACACTAACAACAAACATGAAATTTTTAGAATGTTTCACCCTTTTCTTTTAATAGGAACATGAAAGAATTTCAAAGGTTCTTCAAGAGTACAGAAAGAAGAAGAATGTGAGTATTTTCAGCTTTGCCTCATAATACTAATTTGCAGTAGTAATCCAGTATCTTTAATAGTAGGCATAATCCATTGATTAAGAGTATGCCCACCTTTTGTGTGCATTGAAAAGCTTTAAAAATATTCTGTATATGAGTTACTAAAAATGCTGGGCACTTGAGGAAGTAGGTAAAATTTAGTGCCCAACTCTGTACAATTTCTGCTGGTTGCATCTTGTGATAGCACTAAATATATAAACTACATTTCAAAAGAAACAGCTTATGCTCTTAAGTTCAAGTATTTTTTCTGTTTGATAGTAGGTCCAATCTATTAATAACTTGTCCTGAGAAGGCTTGCTAACAGTGTTCAGTTTTTTTAGAATCAATCAGTTTTCCATCTGCATTGGTTTTCAAGATGCAACAAAGCCAACCTTCATTGTCAATGATAAAACATTGTGCATTTGCTCAATCTTTAAAGGAAGTCTCCATTTTCTTTTTAATCAAAATATTTTTAGGGATGTAATACATGTTGGTTTCAGAAGAACTGTCACTGGAACCCAGAAGAAGTTTTACTTCATTTCTGTTAATGTAGGTTAGTTTTGTGTGTGTAATTACAGGTTGAGCCTCTCTAGTGCAACATTCTCTGGTTCGGCAACATCCATGGTCCAGCATGATTTTAGGTGGCCAGATGTCCACTTTTCATGGGTAGGGCCAAGTTTCTCACAGTCCCTCAAGCTTGTTTACAGCAGCCAATTCTGGTTCTGTGCTGTTATTTAGCTCTAATTTACATTTTCGAAGAGACCAGCAAGCAGTGGAAGTGTTGGTAATGCTACTTAAACATAAGAATGTTTTTTATGCTTTATCTTTTTATTTCCTTGTGCCAATGAAGTGAAATTGTATCAACAGTAACAATTTATTATAACTGGTAAGCCTGAGGTAAATGTAGACTTGTGTAGAGTGTATGAATACAGTCATGTATGATTATTAAGGAGAGTTGCAAGCCGTGTTCCATTTATTCACCTTAATGAAATAAAAAGAAAAAGACCTGCTTGCTACAATATTAACCTGTCATGGTTTTGCAAATTCTCTGGTTCAGCACTGATTAGGTCCTGATGTTGCCACAGTTGAGAAGCTCAACTGGTTCTTACATTCCATTATGATCCTAGATATGTAATAATGTAATATCTTGATGTGTACTTGGTTTTTTTTATTCAGTGTAAATCGAGGGTACATATCAGTCTTTTTTTATCTGATTATCTTTAACCAAAAATGTACAAAAAATAATAAAATATTTAAAACAATCAGAACACAAATATATAACTGAAACAGGGCAGCACAACATACATACTTTAAAAACAAATTGAATTGCATTACTTTACTAAATGACTAAAATATATCAAAATCACAGCCCCTTTCCACCCACCCAGAAAACAAAAGAGAGCAGGTAGAAGAAATTATGTTCAAGGAAAAATAGCATGTGCTTGGAGATCATGAATCCATGCAGATATACTGTCCTCAGCCAACTGCATTATTGATTGATCTTGGAGGAAATTGAAAGATGCATTATGTTATTATGAGTTGTTGATTTGTTTGTATGTTTCTGGCAGGATCCTACGTTTCTGGAGAAAAAAGAACGTTGTGAATACCTAAAGAACAAACTTTCTCACATAAAACAAAGAATTCACGACTACGATAAAGTTATGAATTGGAACGTACAGACATAATATCACTCTAACTTTAAGTGATACTTTGTATTTTTGAATGGAAATTATTATTTTTAAATATTTATCTTCAAAGCTATTGCTTCCTCCAATCAATGCCTATATATAGTCTGTGTAAATTTTGTGCATTTCTGGTAGTGTTTTGTACACAATTATATTTTAAATGCAATGTAACAGTATAAGTTAAGATATTTTCTGGCATTTACATTGATTGAATGCTTTATACATGTCCCTTTTTATGCAGTCATGGATATGATATAATTGCTCACCTTTTTCCCTTGCTTCTGTCTCTCTTTAAATGTGTGTATCCTCTGTGCCAGGTCTGGTTCTTCTAGATCAAGTCAAGAACCTGTGCAGTAGTGCTCTAACAAAAGTGTGTGTTCTTGTCCTTACATGTTCCTCAGAATCAGAGCCCCTGAAACTTGGCTCTTTGCCTACTTTTTTCCTCATTCTGAGAGTGATTGTTTATTATGGCGTGAACCCACAGATCTCAAAAAACACTGAGTGGAACCTACCTGACAGGAATGAGAGAGATCTAGTACCAGCCTCTTTACTGTTTGGTCTTGAACATTTATTCATTTCTTATATCTTTTAGTCTTCTCTTATGGAAAAGTTCTAAAGAAATCAGTTGGAGTTTTGCCTGACACAGGACTGCAGGATAGGTCCTTTATTAGCAACTATAGCATAGTTTGATTCTGCCCTATGCCTTGCACAGGTTAGGTAACTAAACTTACATTCCTCAACTATATTAATATGATAATGAAAAGATTATTGAACTCATGCATAGGCTCAAGCTTATGCTGCCACTTAACTCATATACAGGCTCAAACTCATGTATAGGCTCAAGCTCATACTGCCATGGAATTATCATTGTCTTTTAACCCCCTTGGGTGAAGTAAGTTGAACTGCATGTGTTAAATTGAGGAAGATGTAACTTTCATGTTTGAGAGAACAGGAGAGAGTAGCTGATGCAGGTGATTGTAAACACTTGGTCAAATTAATGTACGAAGTAAATTTAAAGTTAAGAATCGGTCTAACTTTGCCCACCTCAGAAAAAGTATTATGGTATATAAACCTTACACATTTTTAAATCAAAGTAAAATATTGTTCCCTGGTGAGAGACAAACCTCTTGGGATTTAGTTTGCTTTTATACTAAACCTTGCAATGTGTTTTAAGTTTGTAAATATATCACGCATCACATTTGTAAATACTTGCAAACTTATATAAGAAAATGACATTGTTTTCATTAATTTTATTGTTGTATGAACTTTTTTATGAATTAAAATACACTGAAATTGTTAGTAATTTTCTTATTGGTAGTAATCTCTTCACTGAATATCTTTCTATAACCAATACTCACTTGACATTTGGTTCTGAAATATGTTATTTAAATGTCCAAAATAATATATAAACACGCTATGGCTATGTCTATACTACGAGTTTTCTTGGCAAAAAATGTGTAATCCCCTTTTTTCTCCAAGGGTTACTCAGGAGCAGGTCACACTCACAGGTTTTAACATAAAAGGAGATCCCGAGTACCACAGTGGTGGTGATGTTTAGTTTGGGAAACCCTAGTCACCCTCTTACTGCTGTCCCTTGCTCATAAAGAACATATAATGGCGGTGCCTCCACCTGGCTGGCCCTGTAACACACTTACTGGTGTGCCTTGAGAACCTCCAGGAATAAGCTTATTCCAACAACAAATTGGATCTAACTCCAGAACAACAATTACAACTCATAAATAATGTACATCTAATAGATTGCATTAGAATGAACAACCTTTACTTAACTTACAGAAACAGGATTTAATAAATTAACAGTGAATAACATCAATTAACAAAGTACACAGAAGTAAAAGGAACTTATCTAGCTGCTATATACAATGCCAATATTTATTCCACCCCAGAGTGTGCACGCTCCTGGACTCAAGTCCTAGACTCTTGCTTGCGTGGCCACGCTTGAAGAACTGCAGTTGTAATGGAGATTCTCTTAGGTAGTGTGTATGTGGGTCCAAGCTATGCAGCAGCTCTGGTTCACTACCCAGAGTTAGTCTGTATCTCTGAGGTCTGTCCCAGGCAGCATTTTCCCAAAGATGCCCAGTTACTCACAGTCTCCTGTGTGCTGGATGCAGAGTAGCTTCTAGCCACAAGTACAGCCAAAGGGTATCCCCTCTAGAGAAATCAGAAGCAGCCTGCTAGATCCCAGTTCCAAAGGCTCGCTGTCCCAGTCTGTAACTGCAACATAACAGCTCCTGAACTGAATCAAACTCCTCCACAGCAGCCTGGCTCCCTTTCTGCTCCAAAAACAGAGGGAAGAGTCCACAGACTGCTGAGTCTTCCTCCATGTGATTTTACAGTTCTGAAGCACTGTAAGGGCACGTCTAAACTAGGGAGGTTTTTTCGAAGAGGATATGCAAATTCCACAGGAATTCTGATCTCACTTTCAAAAGTGAAAGTGGTCTGGATGCGGTTTTTTCGGGGGGGGGGTTTTCCAGAAAAATTCATAAACCTCCTTTAAGGAAAAGCGTTTTTCTGAAAGAAAAAAAACAAACAAACCCTGCATCCAGACTACTTTCACTTTCAAAAGAGCCTCTTTCAAAAGTGAGAGGGGAAGAATGTATGCAAATTCTTGGGGAATGTGCATATCCTCTTTCGAAAATTCTACCTAGTCTAGACATAGCCTAAGGCTACGTCTAGACTGGCATGATTTTCTGCAAATGCTTTTAATGGAAAAGTTTTCTGTTAAAAGCATTTGCGGAATAGAGCGTCTACAAAAGAAGATTAAGGGGGGACATGATAGCGGTTTTCAAATATCTAAAAGGGTGTCACAAGGAGGAAGGCGAAAATTTGTTCCTCTTGGTTTCTGAGGACAGGACAAGGAGTAATGGGCTTAAAGTGCAGCAGGGGAGGTTTAGATTGGACATTAGGAAAAAATTCCTAACTGTCAGGGTGGTCAAATATTGGAATAAATTGCCAAGGGAGGTGGTGGAATCTCCCTCTCTGGAGATATTTAAGAACAGGTTAGACAGACATCTGTCAGGGATGGTGTAGGTGGAGCTTGGTCCTGCCTTGAGGGCGGGGGGCTGGACTCGATGACCACTCGAGGTCCCTTCCAGTCCTATTATTCTATGATTCTATATCAGCCAAACAGAATAATCTGTGTTAAGATTCCTCCTCATTCAGCCAGCTGATTTCAGCCTACAAGGGTTACAGAGGTCTTGATGAGGGGCTCCTCAGTATTGGGGTCAGCCTTTGGACTCCAGCATAATGTTAGAATGGGATTTGATCAGCACGGAATGAAATGAACAGCTAATTCACTAACCCTAAAACAAATCTGAGCTGTCTACACTGGCCCTTTTGCGCAAAAGCTTTGCGCAAAAGGGACTTTTGCCCGAACGGGAGCAGCATAGTATTTCCACAAGAAGCACTGATTTCAGACTGTAGGAAGTCAGTGTTCTTGCGGAAATTCAAGTGGCCAGTGTAGACAGCTGGCAAGTTTTTCCGCAAAAGCAGCTGATTTTGCGGAAAAACTTGTCAGTCTAGACACAGCCTAAGTGTCTGTAATTCAAGGCCACTACTACCTTCCCCCGGTCCTTTTAAAAGAAAAGGGGGCAACTTAAAATGAAAAGAATTATGCCACTGTAATACCATGGTGATGGGTTTCAATACTCAAGATATGAAAGAAGGATAATTGACTTCCCAGTATGTTGTTAATTTGGTCGCATTGTTGATCCCATATAGTTGAGAGCTGTATTATGCTACAGCTGTAAAAGATAACCAGGAATACAAATGTTCATGCCATATGACCAAATAAATGTTAGTTCAAGAACCTAGACTCAGGTTCTGACAGCTGAGTATTTAAACTGTATGCCTAAGTGGACAAAATGTGTATGTGCATTTTAAGTATATTATAGGTATTCTTTTGTTTTAAGAGTTGGTCTTAAAATGTGTGTCTGAACAAATAACCAATAAATCTATAAGGTACTTATCAGAAGGTTCATATGAATTAGATTTAACATTTTAGTGGTATTATGAATTGAGCCCTGTGATTTTTTTTAAAACACATTTTTATTTAATTTTGTTTTGGAATGTTGCAGTGTTTTGTTTTATCCTATGGAGAACAGGGTGCCAGGGGCTATTCCCAGGAGGTGGGAGGCCCTGGAGGAGGATTGCAGAGTGAACTAGGGATGTTAACTATCATTTGTATAAAAGTGTAACCATGTTATGCTTATAAGAAGCACATAGGATCTTTTTCAGGGGAGAAGGCAATACACTGTGTTTGTTGAGAATACAGCAGAGAAGCAGTTAGTATATGCTTTAAAAACAAACTCCCCCCCACACACACACACGGTGCATAGTTACCAGTCCATGATGGCTAAATCTGTCTTACTGGCCAGGCAAGGCTGACTGAGCTAGGAGTCAGGGTTCCTCTGAGACTCCTCCAATGCTTGGCTTGCAGGACTGAACCCGTGACCACACCCCTGACCCCGTTAGCCACACCTCTGGAGGCAACACTCTCGGGACAAGATAGCTAATTTCATCCCTATCATTTTATATATAGAGATTAAGTTTTTCAATGAACGTTACTTTGCATTTATTATCATTGGATTTCATCTGCTGTTTGGTTGCCCAGACAACCCAGTTCTATGAGCTCACTTTGTAACACTTTGCACTCTGCTTTGGACTTAATTATCTTACGTAGTTTTGTATTATCAGCAAGCTTTGTTATATGTCTGTTCACCCATTTTACCAGATCATTTATGAAAAAGTTGAACAGGACGGGTCCCAGTACAGGCCCTTGGGGGACACCCCCATTGAATTTTCTCCATTCTGGAAACTGACCATTTATTCCTACCCTTTGTTTCCTGTCTTTTATGCAGTAACTGATCCATGAGAGGACCTTTCCCCCATCCAAGGCCAGATTCATTTCCTTAAGAGTGTCTGGTGATGGTCCTTGTCAAGGGCTCTGTGAACATCTACAAAGCCATCAAGCCACCAAGCAGAGGAGGTGACAAATCAGCTGTCAGCAGGGACTGGAGAAGGGGCACTGGACATAAAGGCTACATCTACATTGGCATGATCTTGCGCAAATCCTCTTTAATGCAAGAGTTTTTGCGTTAAAGTATTTGCACAAGAGAGCATCTACACTGGCACGTGCCTTTGTGCAAGAGATGTGCTTTTGCGCAAGACCTTCCGTGCCAGTGTAGACGCTCTCTTGCGCAAGAAAGCTCCAATGGCCATTTTAGCCATCGGGCTTTCTTGTGCAAGAAATTAATGTTGCCTTTCTACACTGGCCTCTTGTGCAAGAACAGTTGCGCAAGAGGGCTTCTTCCTGAGTGGGAGCATCATAGTTCTTGCACAAGAAGCACTGATTTCATACATTAGAACGTCAGTGTACTTGCACAAGAACTTCTGGCCAGTGTAGACACAGCCTTACTGATTCCCTCTACCTTCCTGATTTTCTATACCCTCTGCTCCCTGTCTCCCACCCCCTCCTTCTTTTTCCTTCCTCACTCCCTCCTATTTATTTTGGGTGTGCACATCCTAAACTCAAAACTCTGGTCATCTGAAGAAGTGGGCTGTGACCACGAAAGCTCATGATACCATCTGCATGTTTTGTTAGTCTATAAAATACTACCAGACCAAGAGTAGGAGGATTAGGCATGCTGTGGTAAGCAAGTTCCTACTTTAGCAATTACATTCTGGTCTATCTAAGTTACAGTTACCAGGTCCAGGTTGAAAAAAGACCTGGGCAGCTCTGGTCAGCAGTGAAGATTGGGCCATTAAAAATCTGGTCAGCCTTGCAGCAGGTTCCTTGCCTGCATGGCTCCACGCAGCTCCAAAAAGCAGCAGCAAAGTCATCCATCTGGCTCCTACATGTAGGGGTAGTCAGGGGGTTTCACACACCAACCCTGTCCAGAGTGCTGGCTCTACAGCTTCCATTGGCTGGGAACTGCAGCCAATGAGAACTGCAGGGGCAGCACCTGCCAACAGCAATGTGTGGAGTTGCCTGGCCATGCCTCCACATAGGAGTAGGAGGCAGGCCATACCACTACTCCCAGAAGCTGCTTGAGGTAAATGGTGCCCAGAGTTTGCATGTCTGACCCCATCTTGATCATCTTTCCATGTACCAAACACTTTGAACTGAGCCCAGACCACCTTCCTGTACCCTAAAACCATTCATCTTCAGTCCAACCCCACAGCCTGTACCCCCAACCAAAACGATCACATCCCCTGTACTGTAATTCCCTGCTCCAACCCTGATCTCCCTCCCATGCTCTGAACACTTCAATCTCAGCTCAGAGCA